ATTCCTGCTCCTGAGTCTCTGAGGGCGGAATGATGTGCAGTTCTCCTTTGTAAAAGAACACCTGGCAGAGAGTAACATTCTCGTCAGACGGGGTAAGCGCAGTCGCACGCTAAGCAATGCAAAACTTCATTTCACATACGAATGTACTTGTTTAAACACAGAAAATACTGAAGGACAAATAGCAAAATAATACAGGAAACAGCTGGAGGTCTTTTTGTTAATACTGTTGTTGGGTTTTTTTAATGGGAGATAAGGTAAATACAGATGCCAGAGATCACGACCCAACCAGTAAATAAAACCCCCTGTTTTAACTGCAACAAGTTTGGCCAAATATATCTTGTTTTCTTAGTAACAGTAATACCAAAAGTTTCTCTTCCGCTAGAGATATGCTTCAGGGGAATCAGACAGCATAACCTAACTGCTGAAGACGAGGACAGGGACTAAAAAGCATTATTTCAGGGGATACAGGCGACCTCTGTTGGTTCCTGATCCTAAGAAAAGAACGGAATGTAATATCAACTCTCTCACTCCGTCCATTCCTTCAAATGGAAGGAAAATTTAGTGCTGATAGTCCAGATACAGGTTTGCAATTAATTTTTGTGTTGTTTTCCGACCCTTTTGAGAGTCTTGTGGTAGGAAAAAAAAAAAATTAAGCAAAACTTTGCTAATGAAAAAGTAAGTTCTTTCCATTTAAATCCATTGCCAAGAAACTCAGTGGCATTTTTACTAGCGAGGTGATCTGGCTGCAGACCCAGGGGGAAGGAGTCCACTCACTAATTCACCTACGCCAGCCCCGGTCTGTCTCCTTGTAGAGTCAACACCACCCCGGCCTTGAGCATTCCCCAGTCTGAGGGCAGCAAACCCTCATGCCTGAGCACTCGAGAGTGTGGTAGAAAAAAAATCCAAGTGGCTACAGAAGAGGTAGAAAGCTCAGGTGGATCCAGGAGTGCTCCTGAGGAGAGCAATATGGTATCTTTGCGTTACACTGCCAAATACATTCCATAGCTCCCATGTTATCCAAGCTTTCCCTGCACTCCAATAACCCAGAAGATGGAAAGCTGGCCAAACCTACTGATTTTTACAGATTGATCAATAGCACGGCAGCTTCACTGCCTTCGCATTTGCCACCATGAGAAGCAGCGAGAGAAGGAAAACTTTTTTTTTAAAAAAGTTCAGGCTGCTCTGTGTTATAGAACAACTCTTAAAGAGTGATTTACGCGCAAGAGTCAGATCTAGCTGAATGACACAGTCTCACAGCCTAGCAGGGCTGTAGTCTCCGTACTCTTGCCATAGCCTCCATAGTTTTGCCATTAGCATGAGAACATAGTAGCGTAAGAACGTTCTCTTTCTTCCTTCCATCAACAAACCACTTCTGGAAGAACCACCTGGTACCTGTAACAATTTCCAGATATCCCTACAGTAGTTTCTCAGGACGCATGTGCTCTGTGTTAGTAGCTGAGGTTTCCAGTGGTTAAGCCTCTCATTCATAGAATCATAGAATTGTTTGGGTTGGAAAAGCCCTTTAAGACCATTGAGTCCAACCGTTCCCCTACCCCTGCCATCCCACCCCCAAACCCTGGCCCTCAGCACCGCCTCTGCCCGGCTGTTAAATCCCCCCAGGGCTGGGGACTCGACCCCTTCCCTGGGCAGCCCCTTCCAGTGCCTGACAGCCCCAAGGGGAAGGAATTGTTCCCCATGCCCAACCTCACCCTGCCCTGGCACAACTTGAGGCCGCTGCCCCTCGTCCCATCGCCCCTTCCCTGGGAGCAGAGCCCGACCCCCCCGGCTCCCCCCTCCTCTCAGGCAGTTGTAGGGAGCGATGAGGGCTCCCCTCAGCCTCCTCCAGCCACGGCAAGCATAAAGAAGCTCATTACAACCAGAATGAAAACGGACCGCGCTGAAAAAAACCCACGCTGTTCATTAGAACAAGCCTTGAGCCCTGACCAGAAGTTTCTTCACCAGTAAGGGATGCAGCTCTCTGGATTTTCAGGGGCAGGCAGACAGCTCGGCTGGGTGGAGGTGCAGGAGAAAACAGGCCGGTAAGTAAAAGGCCACTGCGAGCCGACCGGCACACAAGTTCTACTCACCCTGTTGTCACTGTTTTCCGGGTTCAGCCACTTTGGGAGAAAATCAGCGGCTTCGATCAAGAGAAACTCCCCATCGTTGTCATCGACCCTGGGCAAGGAGAAATCGGTTCCTCACTAGGGAAGGTCTCGCACAGCTCGATAACGGGTTTTTTGGGTTTTTTTTTAGTATTAAGGCAGCCCCTTCGGGCAAGCCCCCCTGGGGAAAGGCGCTGCCCCTCAGCACCCCGACCGCCGGGC